CCCCAAAACCCCAAAACCCCAAAACCCCGTGATGTCATAATTATTGAGTATTTAAAAAAGAAACGTATTAGATTGCAGAATATTTTATATAAAATTACTTAATAATTGCTTGTAGTCCGTATTAAACATATTATATAATTGAGACAGAGGAATAACAGTTTCTGAATGAGTATTCATTCCAAAGATTCCTCCGTAACCTAATAATTTCTTTAAACGATGGTGTTCAGTTATCAATTGATTTTGACATTTTTGTAATCCATATAGTTAACTAGTTATTCTGGAATTTCCTTTAAGACTTCAGCTGCCAAGGCTTACTCGTTATTCTTAAACTTATTGAACTCTACAAACTGAACTATATCTCTGACACCTGGCCGGCCATCTAAGCCAAGCAAGACATTCTCATCTCCATCTAGCTCTTTCATACTTTCAAAATTTTACTCTCCTACTCCTATGATTATAATACTCAAAGGCTGAGAGGACATTTATACTATCTTTGTCCTCACCTCTGTAAAATCATTAATGAGTCCATCTGTGATAATGAGTAAAATATTATATATTTTCTAACTTTTCTTTTTATTAACGATTTTTTCCATCTAGTTAAGTACCTGTGAAAAAATGGTAGGACCACTCAAAGATATATTATCTATTGTTTTCTAATAAAGACTAAGAACTCCCTCTACTGTTTTTACTTCAGGATTTTTGTGATCTCCATTTAATGGGAAACAATGCTCAACAGATGTCTTCTCCATATATCAAGGAACCCCTCCAAATCCATAAACAAGATATCTTTTATCAGAATCATAATTTTCGATAATAGACCCGATCGAGAAAATAGCCTTTTAATATTAGTTGAATTCACTCTTTGTGTGAAGCGAAGATCTCATTGATGGATCTCCATTAGAGCCAGTATAATCAATTGCAACTACGAAATTAAGTTCCCATCCGTTATTGATATAATCTAGGAACTGAGCTTTTCTCTGGATTTAAATATGGTTAATTATCATCTCACCATTGATCTAAGCTTGTCCATTTAAAATTGGGAAACTTTTTTAATTTTTCAATTAAGTTATATTCGCCTCAATTTCCCCAAATTATTCTTTATCCTCATGAAATTTATCTCTAAATAAGAATCTTATTGGCTAGTTTTCATTAGAGTTACATAGGAGTGCTCCAGCAAGCTTTATAGGTTTAAAGTTGGGGCTTGTGGTTTTAGTTGTTGAGGCCTCACTTTTATATACTGAGAAAAATTTCTTCTAATTTTGAGAATCTTCTACAACACGAAATATCTCTACTTCTGGGTAAGCGATTTTAAAGCAAAAGCATTTAGCAGTGGCTGGCAAATTTTAAACCTTAAATTGCATGTTTAGACTCCATGTAGTTTCCGAATATGGGGCAATTCTACTTATTAGCTTTCCTTTTGAGTTGCTCTACCCATCCTTTTTTATATCCGATTCATATTGCATTTCCTTAGAACCTATGATTTTACCTAGTGTCATCTCTGAGTAACCTATTTCTTCAAACTTTCCCTATTTGTCATAGTCCAAAACTTCAATTTTCAAATACTAGTGTTTCTCGAACTTGTAAGATAATTTTATCTTCTTTTGGAAATCAGGATTTAGACTATCTTTCACAATTTCGGTTTAACCTAAGATCCTCCATTCCTCAAGAGTCCTTTTCTTATAATAAACTATGCATTGCGGATCTGGTTTTGAAAGCTTATCGATGTTTTAAAGATTTCGACAAGAAATATAAAGATCTACCAAACAATTGAGACCTGATTAGGATTCCAGAGATCCCATATTTAGTTCAATATCATTTTAACTCACAATTTCTTTCACCGAGCTGAGCATGTTATTGTATATTATTCGATTAATAATTACCGAAAAACAATTTTCATTACTTTTTTAAATTCTCTTACCCCTATTCTATGGGGTTTTGGGGTTTTGGGGTTTTGGGGTTTTGGGG